TGTGGGCATACCTCCGCGCTTTATAGAAATCGTTGACTCCGAAAACTACAAAAGTCCCAAATGAGATTCATCAGCGAACCAATTTAATGGCACAAACCCATTTAAGGCGGAATACTCGTACTACACTTTCGCCCTGAGCCCAATTCCGTTTTGTTTTCTTTACTTTTTTTAGCAATTATGTTGCGGGGTCGGCTGCGGCGAAGAGCTGGAAATTGCAAGCCAAGCAAATAAAAATTAGTAAGACCCGACCAAATAAATAAATAAATGAATCAGGGAGAAGCGAAGGGAAGCACGAATACAAAGTAGAAGTCGGATTCGGAGTCGGAGTCGGAACAAGCAGAGCAATTGTGTGGGAATCTGGAGCAGCCTCAATGGGAAAATGACTTAATGTGGCCAGCGGCCCGTCGTCGGGTAGGTACGCGAAATGGCACAAAGATCTCCCACAATTTGCACGACTCGGGGGCGGAGCGACGGCAATAAAATGCTGAAACTAACGGGTGTCACATAACAATTAGAATTAACTAAAGTACGAGTACCTCGGGAGAACTTTTCGCACTTTGGCCATTCCAGTGCTGATGCTGATGCTGAAGCTCTTCTGAAGCCCTGTCTTAGCAACTCTCCGCTCTAGGCAACTTCTACAACTATTTCTGTTCTGTTCTGTTCTTTTCGGGTTTTTCTTTCCATTTTTTGGCAACGGTAAATTGAAATACGCAGCTGATTAGCAGGGGCGGCGGAGGCGTGGCTAGTCGGTCTCGCTTGCTGCTGCTGCTGCTGCTTGCCGTTGCTGTTGTCACTCGGCCTGGCCCGAAACGCACATTGGCATTGGCCAGGCCAACTAATTTCAAAGGTAAGCGCGTCAAGAACAGTTATGAGCTCCGAGCACAAATGGAATGGCTGTGGGATGGACTTGGCCGGAATGGACTGGGATGGGATCGGTCGGTGTGTCTTGGGATGCCCAAAGCCACACACAGGAAAACGGGCGAGAACGAGAAAGAGACTTTAAAGTGTGCTCAACAATGTGCGACAGCCAAAACTGAAACTTAGCGGAGAACCAGTGCGGATGGAACAAAGGCTGATCGACTGCAAAGTGTCCTTATAAAATCCACTGTTCACAAATAAATTAACGAAATAATACCAGCAAGTATTATAATTGTTTATTTACTATATGCCAAGTGTTTCCCATCAAATAAATGAATGTCATGATGCATACAGATATGTTGTGCTATATTCTGAAATCAAATCTATAAGCGAGTATATCCAGCATGATAAACAGATCATTTTTAAATATTATTTATTATATTTGCTTTGATCAAAGCACAAAGATCTCTTCTCTCTATTTTGTTGCTCATTTAACAAAAATCATTAACCCCACAGCTGGACATACCTAACAGCATACCCTGTAATACGAATACTAGCCTGCGCGGGGCTCTTGGATGTGATATGGCTATAAAAGAGTTACGCGCGCGACGCATTGCAACACCGAGAATGAGAGACGCGTTTTGGGAATGGGACTGGGACTGGGCTGGTTACGGTTACAGTAGTTGTTGCCACAGTTGCTGCAGTTGCGGATAGTTCTGCTGTTGCTGTACTTGTACTTGTACTTGTAGTACTTGTTGTGGCAAGCGTTGCGCTTCAACTACGGCCATACATCAAGTCGCCAGAGAACAGCGAATTCTGCTCGGCGTCAGATACAAATACTAAACTTGATAGAGACATAACTTGCATGCAGCGATGCAGGAAATCACCAGAAAGGCAGAGCAGTCCGGGAGAGACCATTACACACACCACTACCACCATTAATTCCAATACCAATGCCAAGAGCCAGAGCAGGTGCAGGCGCATACATTAGAGCAGACCCATACCCATACCCAGGCACAAGCCAAGCCAAGCCAAGCCGACGAACTTGTGGTTTCAGCCTGGGCCAGGCTGGGCCTGGGGCAGTTCCACTTGTTATTCTCCGATTCTCCCTGGAGCGCGTGAGGGGAATTGCTGAGAGGTGGAAAATAAAATTAACCGAATGGCAGGTTTTTATTTACGCTAAATTATTTTCCCAGCTGTGTCCAGGTCCATGAACGCGTAGTTCTCCGTAGTTACGCTTTATATAGTCGGTGCGTAATGGTTATTGTCATGCCAGGCTGTCTGACGTCTGTAGTAAGTACTGTACATGGAAAATGTCTTTCATTTTCACATTAGAAGGGTATTTTGCTGGTGATGTCATCTCAAGCATCAGCCAGTTAAGTAGATACCAGTTTCGGTAGAACAGTTTTTGCAGACTCTAAGAACCATTCCAAGGCGTTTCCACTGAACTTGGTTGGGGTTCAACCCAGACAATGCTAAGCACTGCTCCACCACTTCCATTAAATGATTTTTTCTTCTTCAAAGAGATTTCTTATGTGTTGTGAAATTATCTCCATGGAACCCCACGCCGGAGTATTCCCCAATATGACACCAATCTTTTAGTTTCTCCCCCCTTCTTGCCTTTTCCATTTCCCCCCCGTGACTAGTTGAAATCCCGCAACATAAATAATAATAATCATTAAAAGTGCGACTGCCATTAGCCCAGAATCGGAACAAAAAAATAAAAAACAAAACCAAACCAAAGCTAAAGCCAAAACAAAACAAAACAAAACAAAACGTCCGCTGATGATGGTTTGATACAATGAAACAATGAGCGGCTGTTGCTGAGTGCTGTTCCATTTTCGAGGTTCTGCCAGATCACGATTGCCCAAAAGATAACCCAGTTGCCTGGAGCCCATGCGAGGGGCAGCGGGGCGGAAGACATTTGGCTGCAATTTGCCACAAGAACTTTCCTCACCCAGATGCACCCCAGATCTGGCAGATCTGACACAAATCTCTATCCGAGGTTCAAATCGTAAATAATTAGATGTAAAATGCGGATGGGGATGGGGATGGGACGGAGGGTTCCACCGAGCAAAACGCTCTCCAGCCGCGTTCTCAGGCACTGATCGTTTGATCATTTTCAATTGTGAGGCTGATGAACGTTAATTATCCCGGCCAGAAGAAAAATGATCTTGATGTGCACGGCTATGAGTTTGGTTTTTGGCAAGCCAGATGGAAGCAAAGCAATGGAAACTTTCACAAAGCATTTTACTTTCGTCTTCGTCAGTCGCTCGCATTCTAATACTCGTACAAGACAGCAGCAGCAGCAGCAGAGCACCAGCAGCAGAGCTCCAGGCCAGAGCTGCGGCTGCGGCTGCTTGTTGGTTGGTGGTTGGTGGCTCATTAAGCTGTTTGGCTGGCTTCTTGGCCAAGATCGTTGGCCTCATTATGCAGGGGTCCAAGTCTCCCAGCTGGCGGCGTACTCGTAATAAGTGCAGCGCGTTATGCTCGCCTAAACAATCTCCCGCCTGGCATCTGGAGTGCGTCAGAAAAGGGAAACGGAAGCCCAATCCACGAGATTTATGTATGCCACATGCTAATCAACGTCAAAACGCAACTGTGGGTGAAATTTGATCCACTGGTGGTGGTGCTGCTGCTGCTGCTGCCACATCTTATTCTGCTGCAGTGGGTGAAGGTGAAGGCTTGGGCTTGGGCTTAGACTTGGACGTGGCCTTTGTCTTGGTCTTGGTCTTGGTCTGGCTTGCAGATGAGAAAGTTTATTTATTTTTTGGTTTATGTTTTCGCGATCTTAACGCTTACTTGGTTTTTGTGTTCTAATAATACTCCAGCAACAAACAAACAAAAGCCAAAGCTAGACAAACCTTTTGTATCTGATGATGATGATGATGATGATGATGATGATGAAGAAATCCGGCCTAATGGCTTTTCTATGCAAAACTCCATTGAGCACTTCCCCTTTTCCAAGCTAGCCCAAGCTCCCAGCTCCACAGCTCCACAGCTCCACAGCTCCAAGCTCTGGGGCTCCCAGTCTCAGGCACTTCAATCAGAAAGTTTTCAGAACGCCTTTCGCTGGGGCTTCACCGCAGGCACGTCCCACTGGAGTCGGACCCCAGCTCGGACTCCGAGACTCTGGCTCTAGCTCTCCATATTGGGCAACCGACAACAATAACGAGACCCCCGAACTGCAGTTGAAGTTAAGTTTTATGTCTTCTGTCGGTTATTCTGTTTTATCTGCCGGCTTCCGTTCGAGAGCCAGAACCCCCGGCGAGGTTTCAACCGCCAAGAGGTGGAAGTCGCTTTGACAACTCTTTGTGCCACTTTCATGCAAATCGCTGTCCGCCGAGTCAACGTCTTAACACAATTTCGTAATTCTTTGTGTGTGCCAAGACAGAACGAACATTCGGCGTTCGCAGTACGGCTATACTCCCGATAGAATCATTAAAAACCTATTTCTCAAATGATGGTCTGCCAGTTATGATGCGATTCGATCTGCTGCTGCTTCTGCTGCTGCTGCTTCTGCTGCTGTTGATGATGATGATGTGGAGAGCTGAAGCCAAGCTGGTGAGGAAGGAAGCAAGAGGTTGAGTGCTTCCTATTTGGGAGCTGACCTATTGGTGGCCATTCGTTGTGGGTCACGAGATCCAGTTACATAGCTGTCGGAGACAGCCGATTTTAAAACAGCTTTCATCTCAAATTTGACTCATTTGCATTTAATTTTTAAATGTTAAAGAAAAGATTTCCATAAGATACAAGTTATAAGTGGAGGAGCGATGTGTCTGTAGGCCCGCAAATAAAATAGCATTACCCTCCCTGGGTGCCCACCCAGGAAATCCCTTCGAAATGACAACAGCCACACCATTTATAGTAGTTACAGATACAAATACTCGCATTTATTTTCTCGACATCATAAATAATTTATACAAAATACGTACAGCTAGAGTCTACGTGCTAATCTCGCTCTAGAGGAAAGTCAGCTGGAACTATCGAACTCCCAGTAATCATTCAGAATTGCACAGTTCAAGTTAAAGCTTGGGCAGAGACAGAGACAGAGACAGAGACAAGGACGAGGACGGACTTACAATTATGTAAATATTGGGATGCGATGCTGATCACGCTGGTACCGTTGGAGTTTAAGCTGGAGCTGAAGCTGAACTTGGAGCCTCTGTGATTGTGGCCCGGGCTATGCGCAGTCATCTGCAGCTAAATGGCGTCTGGGGCATTCAGCAGGACGAGTGGGCATAGCCAGCTGGAAGAGAGTGGCTGTGGGGATGGGAGGAGGGACACCTACAAGGTGCACTGATACTGCTGCTGCTGCAAGGCGCGGGGCAGCGTCTTGTGCGGCAGGTGGGGGACCATCGATGACGTGGACGAGCGGTGGCCTGCTGGGGTCTTGGGACGCAGGCGCTGGCGCTGGCGCTGCAGCAGAACGAGGCAAATGCTGATGATTATCACAGATATGGAAACAGTTACCAGCACGCTGCTCAGATTCGAGCTTATGTAACGCAGTGTGGGGGCGAACACTGCTGAAAGAGAGAAGGGGCGGGAGAGGAGAGGCACCCGGGGGGGGGTAATGGGTATCACGAATCACGATTGTCGCTGACAAGCTACTCACCCTCCTCGTCATCGCCATCGCCATCGCCATCGTCTGGGCCAGCCTCGCGTTGGGCGTGTCGCGATCTGGCGGCGAGCTCCGGCGTCTGGTCCACAACCAGTTTGGCGTACATGGTGTCCATCTGCTCCAGAGTCTGACCCTGAGCGGGCTCCTCTGCCAGACTGTTCACCTCTTTGAGGCTGGCTAGGCTCAGGGCGCGTCCCTGCTGGCGACTGTTGCTGCTGTTGTGGCTGTGGACTGCCGGCAGGCTCGACTCCTCCATTGCTTGGGCTTGGGGTTGTGCCTCCTCTACCAGAGCCTCCTGCTCCACGGACTCGGGCTCAGACTCGGACTCCCTGAGCACCAGCTCGCTCTTGTTGACGTAGCGCATCTGTCGCAGCTCCCTGCCCAGGCGCTGGTCGTCGTCGGGCTCGAAGGGATCGTTGGGCTCGTAGGCGGCGGCCACTCCGCTCTTGCCGGGCACAGTAAAGCTGGCCCGCACGGTCTGCATGCCCGACTGGTAGCTGCAGACCACCACAAAGCTGGTGGGAGAGGGGATTTTGGTACAAGATCTGAGTAGCTTCTAGGGTTTCTGGGGGTGGGGTTCAAGTTACCGCCTCGTGCTATGCGTGAAGATGCCCAGGTTCTCCTGCACAGTGATGAAGGTCTCCACCGTGTTCGTCTCCGGCTTGACCATGCTTCCGCACTTCTTGTGGTCGATCCGCATGGTGTACTTGTCGGCGGCATCGCTGGCGTCCCCTTTCACGCCGCAGTTGCCGCCGTCCACAACGATGCGTCCCCCGAAGTAGGGGCCCGTCTCCACCTCAATCTCCGAGGCATGCGGCAGGCATTGCGTGGCATGGGCAGAGACTAGGCGAAAAGTATTGGCTTGAATGGGCTGTGCGCAGAGGAGTTCCAGTCTACTTACAGCCCTTCGTGGGAATGATGATGCTCTGGCCGGGCAGGTGCCCAGAGCCGGTACTTTCGATCTCGTTCTCATCGTGGAGCTCGGCGCGTGCGTTCGGCCTGCGAGCACCACCCGCCTGCAGACGCCTCTGGGTCGCAGGGCGGACATGGAAGCTGTACTTAGTGGCCATCCTCAGGTTATCCACGGCAGCGGCGAAGTGCTGGACTTGGAATCTGGGGAGAGAGCAAGCAGAACTCAGTCAGGTAGGGTTCTTCCCCATGGGGAAGCGAATCCACTTACCCTACGGGGTCTCCAGCGGGCTCCTGCGCCACTTCAGCGGCAGTGCCGTTCACCGTCTTGACGCGGCACCGCTGCGGGCCGTAGTTCTGCATCTCGCAGTAGAAGATCTGGAATGCCTTGGGCGGTTCCACATCGATGCTCATATTTGTCACATTCACTGGGGACCCGGTGGCTCCGACTTCGTCTCCACTCGTATCTGTGTCAGCGTCCGACGGCACGAACTCCACTTCCCAGGTCAGATTCACCGATTTGTAATGTGGTTCACCGGCAACGCCGCGTATCTCTGTTGAAGGTTACCAAAGTGAGCACGGGCATAGGCATGGGCAGAGGCAGAGGCATAGGGAAATGGGGTTAGAGCCACAGCAGCAGATTCGTGGCAGTGGCAGTGGCAGTTGCAGTTCAAGTCGCCTCTTGCATGCAAATCAACTGCCAGCCAGCGCAGAGTGGGGGCAAAGAACTCGTTTCCAGGCAGAGCCCCAGACACGCTCTTGGATTAGTTTTTATTTCATTCGGTCGTTTCGTTTTTGAAGCTCTCGGGCATCCCATTGCGCCACTAAGTGGTTGTTCCCAGCCAGCGAAGAGAAGATCTCTGAGCACACTGAAGTGCTGATGCCGGAGCAGGGGGCTCTGCACTTTTCCCTCCGCCCAGTGATGGGGGATCAGACTGGAAGTGTGACGTGAATTAGCCAGGGGGAGCCAGCAGCTATGGCGGAGTAAAAACTAGATTGAAGATGAGGCTGGGCAGGCAATGGGACTGCGATGGATGGAGGCAATTGTGGCAGGAACGTGCGCTCAAAGTGAGACAAATGGCGGCTAGTTGCGACCACTGATCTGCACATCTGTAGCCGACGAATCGGAGACTTTGGTATTCTGTTCGCCTTGAGTTTATATTTACAGATTAATTAGGACTCTAATTTAGAGTCCGGAACAGTATAATATTAAAGAATGGCCTGCACTATGACCAAGGTAATAGATAAGCCGTAAAATAATATATTATACAGGAAGGATAAGGTCATGAAATGCCAAACATGGGCAATCTGGTATATTGCTTGTCCACTTAGCCCCGATTTCCAAACAATTTCACAAGCCAGCAATGTGCCAGAGTCTGGCGCCTCTCTTCCTAAGCAGAACCTTGCATAATCCGCAATTAGAAATGCCATTTGCCGCAGCCAGGCATCTCAAGATGTGGCTGTGTGGCTGTGGCTGTGGCGGCTGCAAGTTGCTGCAAGTTGCTGCTTGTGCCTGCCTGTTGCAGGCTGCTTTTCCCATGTTGGAACCATTGACACCGATTTTTGTAGATTGCTGCAGCAGTGTTTTTAGGCGAATTTCACACAGAGAACAGGGAAAAGTGAAAATTCTGCCATGGCACAAATTCTGACATCGGGGCTAGAGAGATGCCTCTGCAGCAGATCTGTGTGCTGGCTTCGCCGAACACTGATTAGAAAATGCCACGGAGGATGACAAGAGGTGCAGACTGCAATTGCGGCATCAGTAAATAAATCGTTTTGATTAATGGACGTTTCTCCGCCAGATGAGGTCTTGGGAAGTCTATCGATGACACTGCACTCGATTCGGATATCCATTTGCAGCCGTCATTGCCTGTTATGTAAGCGATTGGAGGGAAATGAAAGAAAAGTCACCCCAAGACGAAGCTTCATTCATTCATGTCTCCGCCAGTCCCAGAGCCCGCCTCTCTGGACGTTCCCTTGAACTTCCATTGAACGACAAATTGCCGCAATCTGTCCAGTCCAGATCCATCTTGATCTGTCATTGACCGTGATGTAATTGGGGGTCTGGCCCCGCCTTGGTTAATTTGATTAGCATAATATGTGTGTGTGTGCTCCCAACCGATTGCTAAGATTTTGCTCTGGCCTAATGGCACTTTTGCTCTCTTGAAAATCCTGATTTCCCAATGCAATTTCCGCTTTGCGGTTCTGCGATGATACTGAGGCGGTTCTTCAGCGATTGTGGGGCGGGGCTGCAACCGCGAACGCGGCTCTGTCTTCGTTCCCCTTTCAAGACTGGCCGGGAGGAAATGTTTGCACATTTACCGCTTGCCCACTTGCCCGCTTGATTGGCACTAAATGGGGGACAGGACCGAGCAGGGACAGGGACAGGGCAGGGACAGGGCAGGGACAGACAGGGACAGCAGCAGAAATTAGCTGCCGGACAAGTTCGTTGTCTAAGTCTTTAGATGCCGGAGCGTGAAACAATTTCACTGCCAAGGGCAGGCCCTCGACGGCTAGGGAAAATACTTTCAGGAACATACATAAATAGGTACAAAAGCAGCAGCAGCAGCAGAAAAAAGAACTGCATACGTCGGGCAGCACAGATCGTGACCAAATGCAATTAGGCAGTCTCCTACTCCGTCCTACTCTTGCTCCGACTCCGACTTTGACTCCGACTCTGACAGAGGCAGAAAGGAAACCAAAACAAAGAACGCTTCAAGTCGAGTCGAACTGCAACTGGGCCCTGGCTGGGTCTGGCTCTGTCTTTGGGTCGTTATGCATGTACATACATACATATATATGTATGTATATATATATGCACCATGTAGTTATACTCCTCTGCTTATAGGACTCACCATACTTGCTACCAGCTTTGGCATTGTTGCCACGGTTCCCGCTTCTTGTGCCTTCGGATGTTTTCCCTCCTGTGGATGCTGTGGATGCTGCCTTTGACGTGGCCTCGACCATCGATGCATTGTTGTCGCTGGGACTCTTCGCTATTCGGGCGCGCTGCTTGGGGCCTGGGGATGCTGCCAGCAACGCCGGCAACAGCAGCAGCAGCAACATCAGCGACAAAGCTACCAGCGACAACATGCTGCAGCTGCCGCCTTGTATTGATTTCGTTGACATTATTTTTGTTGATTTATTTCAGTTTGCTGTTTGTTCTCATCAAATGTGTGTCAGTCGGGAGCTGCTGGGCGACTATACGAGGGGAAAATGCAAGTGTCGCTGGTGGGTCCACCGGCTCGAGGCACAGTTTGTCTTGTGGCTGATGGTTATTTGATATTTTGATTTATGGAGATTTATCTATCAGTTGAGCGTAGCTTGGCCCACCAATTGGCAGTTTTGGCTGTATTCTCATCGGCTTGGTCCCCGCAAATTGACCCCACACTTCTTGCTTTAAGTACACTTTCTGGTTCTTTTTCTTTTTATGTGGAAGAACCGTTGCTGCTGGCTTTATTCCACTATGGTTTCCCAGTAAATCCCATTTGTCACGGCACGAATTAGGAGGAATCTTCAGCTGCGATGATAGTTACTCTTCCGCGTCGTCTGTGGCATAAACCGCGCGATGCCAACACTCTTCTTCGTCTGCGACTGAGCTGACTGCAGCGGGAGCCCAAAACCTGACCAACCAAGCCCGATCAGCTGTTCCTACCCGAACCCACGAACACACGATGGCAAGGCCGACCGACCCGACCAAGCGCCAGAGCTTTTGCAGCAAGAGAAAAAGCTCGCTCAGCACTCGCTCTCAGTGGTGTTTCCCCCACACCACTTTATGCTGTGCTTTAAAGGCTTAATGAAATGTTGGGGGGGGTGGGGCCTTATCAGCTGTAGCTTATCATCTGATGGACGGATGGCCAGTGTGTAAAATGTCTCTTTCAGTGCTTTTTCTGTTGTTTTTTGTTTGTTTACGTTTTGTCCAAGGGCTAAGTTGGGAATCCATATTGGGCGAAGCTCTTTCGTAATTAAGGCCTATCCCAAGCAAGCCTCCAATAAATTTAGCATTGTTGAAACCGTTATTTCGGCTGTTTTTTAATCAGGCATCACATCACCCGAAGAAGCAACATGGAGATAGATTCCGAGCAAGAGAAAGAGAGAACCACTTTCCCTCTTCTCCGACAGGTTTATGCCCATTGCCCCATTGCCCATTGTCTTCTGTTTTTTTTTTTGTATTTTCTTTCTCTGCCGTTCCCCGATCCACTCACTCCATCGCTCCCTCGCTCCACCCCTGGCTTTGATTAATGCTTAATCAACAATATTATTGTTATTAGTTTTCTATAGTTTCCAACGGTTTTCTAAAGCGGGGCGGCAGCATTTCGCCCCCGCTAGCATTTTCATAAATACATAAATATTTCGCTCATCGCTGCCTCCGAGCCGCGCTTCGAATCGAACGAAATCAATTATAAATTCGCACAAAAAGTTTCTCCATCACAAAAAAATGAGTGAACAAAGAAATGAGAGAAGTCAATACGCGACAATCTATCAATTATTACGACTATTTGCACTCATTGCATAATCGGAAACCGTTGCTGAATTCTGTAGCAGAAAATATTGATTACACACAGAGACACATTTTGGGAAGACACTTTGGGAAGTGGTTCAAACAGCGGCAAAAATAATTTCTACAAACACTGCACATATATTTAAAAATTACAATTATCCAAATATATACATATGTACAATCATCGAAGAAAGTATATTGAAGTCCCAACAGGTTATTGTTTAATTATGCGTAAAGTCAACGAAACAAAAATGTGTAATCAGCGTACTTTAAGCTGAGTTTGCATAGAAAGAGACAGAAAATATCGTTGATACCTGAAGCCGCCTAGAAGTAGGTAGTATTTATTTAGCTTCTTGAGCAGCTATTTTGTGGATCCGTAGGAAAGAGGCGTAGTGGAACGATAAAGATAGTTGTTGAAATGAGTATCGTTGCAATAATAACTGCATCCTGCGGCCGATTCTCTGGCAGTTATGATTGCTCATAGTGGGCAGGCTCTTTATATGCCGTTATATTAGTATTTTCCAAGATAAGCAATAGATAATTTTTGAGCTGTAAAGATCAATGTAGAGAGAAAAGGCAAATAGTCCTATTCAGCCCTATCAAAATCCCTAATTTATGAGTACAGAAGTCAAAGTTTCAAAATATATGTTCATAGTTTAGTTTTCATTAGGGATAGCTCAGGGATAATTTGTTTCCAGCCAAAGGGCATGCTAAACGGACACTTGCCCTTTGTTCAAGCAAACCATTTTATATCGCCTAATTTCCATCTACTTCCGTTCCTAAAAAGGCATTAACCCAGTGACACGCATAGTAATTTATAATATATAAATATATAATGTGCCTTTTCCCTGGCCACCTATTCAAATGTTAATTAGATATTTGCGGTGTGGGTGTGACATAAAGCCAGACCTACGAGTACATTTATTTTCGGCATGTCAAGGCCAGCGTTAGTTAAATATTTCGTCGTGGTATTGTTGTCCATATGGGGACACCTGCAACGTCACTCCGTTCCCCAGTACACTTACCGGACATCAATAATGAAATGAGTCGCGTACCCTTACCTAGTACTAGTACTGTAGTATCTGTAGTATCCTTATACATTCGAGTTCCGTCAGCCAGGGCCAGGGCCAGGGGCGCCCAGTCCCAGATCCATAAAAAGTCCCTCGACATACGTGCGCACTCAGCAGCACATTCCACTAATTTAGCTAATTAAAAATTTAATGAAGCTTTCCAAACTAAAAATACCTCCGACACGAAGGTGGCCAGTCCCGAGCAATTGGAACACCTGTTGGCCCCGTAAAACTCTTTGGATTGTTTCCCAGAGGTTTAATACCCCGAAAACGACCCAAAAAAGGACTGCAATTGAATTGTGTGTTTCCGGCAAATCAGTTAAGCACACCGCACGGCGAGCCGTGGCTGTAGACGTAGGGCCCAAAATTGAAAGCGCTCTTTCAGTGGCTTTTTACTGGGTGCCTGAAAGAAGGCAACGAAAGCCGTTCTCTGCGCTGCGCATAATTGAGTGGCGGCCATCATTGCGTCCACTAAGTGTCCTGATTTGCATACCCCTGGCAGTCCGTACTGGCGCTTAGAATGGTTGCGGCTCGGGCTCATGTCATTAGCAGTGTAACGGGGAGCAAGGACGGGACCGTGCCGCGTGGAGACAGAATTAACATGCCAGCGAGTGACACACGAGGAGTGTGCGCAACGTTCCTTGTCGCCAGCTTCTAGCCTCCCCCTCCGCCACCGCCTCCTGTATTCCCGCCTCCTTTCTACTGCCTCCTTCCTGCCACGCTGCTACGCTTCCACGCAGCGTTTGTTTGACTTGCCCTCCGCTCACCGTCCGCTCACCGCCCGCTCACCCGCCGCCTGGATTACATGTCTAGAGCACATCAAACAAGCTTACTTACCAATGACCTCGTTAATGACGCACATACATACAGCAACACACGCAAAGGACACACTCACCCCCGTGCAGCCAAAAAGGCAACTCTGTGTGCGTTCGTCGTGCTGTTGAGTTGAGTTTACTTTGTAATTTTCGCTTATCAGATTTATTTTTATTTTCATTTTTGATTTTTTGTCAGCTGCTCAGTACGAGTGGAAGCGGGGAGGCGAAGAAGTGTGTCTATGCGAAATCGACATGGGCAATGCCCTGGAAAAATACAATGCGCCAAAGAAAAGAAAGCAAAAGCAAAGCACAAAAGATGAATTATTATTTTAATTTCAATTCAATTTGATATTCATTGGTATTACAGATTTTAAATAGTTTCATTTGAACTAAAATATTCGACGCATACTCGTATATTTTCCTTTTATTCTATATTCCAATGTCGAAACTACGTTAATCTAAACAAAAGAGCCCCTATATGATCCCCGAAATCAGCAAAGACAATTGGAGCGGATATGGCGGGTTTCAAAGTGGAGGACAACGAGCTCTTGGATGAGTTCAAACCCGAATTCAAAACGATATTAGAACTAAACTTACTTGTTCTTAGTAGTTTACATTTTAAACTGATCATTTAAATGACAGAATACAATTTTCTGGCTGAGCTAGCTGTATAAAAAAGTATACTACCGAAATATAATGTGGAGATTTTATTTGCTTGCAAATTTAACTCAAACTCAAGCTATTAATAAATAATAATAATAATCCATATTGAAACGAATGTTTTATTTTTGTTATTCCGTTTATTAGCTCGTACATTTACGAGTAAGAGGAACAAGAAAATTAAGTCGCTAATTTAAATTGTTTGCATAAAACCCAAACAACCAACACCAATCAGATCAAGGAACTATGAAATACACATACTTATATCTGATGTAGCTGTCGATCACATTTTATTATGTACTTATTATATGTAGGAATGGATTTTCCACATATGTATTTATTTTTTTTATGTATTTTATAATCATTAAACGCCAGTATAAGGAAACTCGAGTCTAGTCGTGGACAGTGGGCTTTATTGCCCCTTTTTCGAAGCTCTGCAGAATGGTACGCGCATCAGGACGATCCTCCAGCGAGGTATTCGTGCACAGGAAGAACATAGCGACGATGCTGTCATGCTCCTCGCTCACCTGGAATGCCACTGGGAGTGCGGGCCGCATTCCGTAAGGCAGAAGGAGGCTGCTCTCCGTAAAATCGGAAAGATCTTCTATTAAATCGCTATCTGTCAGGTTCTCCTTGTTATCGCCGCAATCCATTTCCAGGGTGTGCGGTGGCACCAGGGCCAGCGTCTCGTAGATGACAAGGCCAAAGCTGAAGATGTCAGCCTTGCTGTCCAAGATCTTCGAATGCTTAATAACCTCCGGAGCCGACCACAGATCCGTTCCCTCGTAGAGTGGACTGCCATCCTTGTGCAGGTGCACCTGGCCATGCTCGTCCAGGGGGAGGGCCACACCAAAGTCACAGAGCTTGCAGTTCTCGAACTCGCCATTGATGAGTACATTAAAGGATTTAATGTCGCCGTGGAGCACCCGGGCCTCGGTGTGTAGAAAGTCCAGGGCCCGGGCGACGTCCGTGATCACTTTGATGGTGTATTCGGCGGGTAGCGGCCCCAGATCCTCCTCATGCCGGTCGTCCAGCATGGAGCCCAGCGAGCTTCCGCATATCTCCAGAACCAGGGTGTTCAGGCCTTCGGCCGAAGTGACAAGCCCACAGAATCCGACAATGTTTGGGTGCTTCAGTTTTCTTAAGATTTCTGCCTCGTGCAAGATCCGCTTGTTGAAGACCAAGTCCTTCTTCTCCAGAGCATCTTGTGTGATTCTCTTGACCGCCCATGGCGACCGGATCTGGCCACGTCGTGGAGAGCGGTCCAGGCGGTAGACCTTCACCCCGCTTCCAAAGCCCAGTGTCTTCATCATCGGTGACGCCGGAATGCGAATCGGGGAGCTGATGCCCTGCACGTTCTCCGAAGACAACTTGCGCGACTTGCGGGGCGGCGTCTCCATCTTCACGAGGATTTGGTCTTGGTTAATTATTTTTTCGTTAATCGATGCAGAAAAACGTCATTACTTACTCTTATTTTTAAGACTACTCTGTGAGGGGAACAGAAAGTTATTTGGGAATGCTACTCAAATCCCACTTAGTGGGAAAAGTGGAAAATTGACATAAATGTCATGGCGAATCAGATCCATTAACTGAGCAATCCTTCGACTGCTGGGTATCGAAAATCATTCTGTCATTTGGGAAGGAGCACTGCTGACGTAGTCCTGGCTCGGTCAGGGCACAATTAAAGTAATTGCCCATCCACTGTGGCAGTAGCCATAAAAAATCGCCCGATTGTCTCCGGCTTCCATCGTTCCCTCACCCGGGCCCCGTCTTTTTAATGAACGCCTTGCTAATAACTTTGACAATATGTTTGCTCATTCACCCCACGATAATTACCATTGACATCATTGCAATGACACTTGAGTTTCTTCCATGTATGGATATACATACATATACGTACCCATTTTCATATCCATTCGGATTCCCGTGCCTCGGCTTCTGTCTGGCACAAAGAAACAGTGCACAAACATATGTGTCTTTTATTGATACTGTATTTATCTCATCGTCATACTGTAACCATTAACACATGCTCTATATAATTACAATACACTAGTTTAGTTAACTATTAGTTAATTGGTCGAGCGCTGGCCACGTTTCTTATTTGGTTTCGGGGATTCACAATCTTTCTCGTTTGGTTTGATCTCTCCTGGTCCCCAAAAGCAGCCCAAGGGTTCATACATATGTATGTTCAGCGTATACATTATATAACGAAATAATACTTGTGCGGGTGTGTGCTTTTAATAAACATACATACTACATATGTGCATGACGAGTATTTGTAAAAAAATAAACAAAAATAACAGTCGCAAAACTGGTGGAATCGGAGAAAATTAAATTTATATATGTATGTACCAAAGGAATCTTTTCTTGCATAACTTAACAGTGAGCTACATGCTACGGATGACCATTAGGCTGGTCCTTACAGAGCACTCAAACAGCAGGTGACCAGGTATATCATTTAATTAAAACTAAACATTAACATACTCGTAATTCAAATAATTATCGGTTTCTGCTAGGATCATACGAGTATCTAACAAAATAATTACAACAGCTCTGATGAGTTTTCACTTACATAATATTCTGGGCTTCCTAAAACGGATTTAGATTCGCCTTGGGTTCGTTGGGTCAGCTGTTCTATAGGGAGTACACTGACTGAATAAACCTGGCAATGAAACGACTTTCTAACGAAATCAAATCCAAATGGACATCAAAACTAAATTTGTACAGAAAATGGGGATGGCAATACTGCACGGCATTTACATACGTATAAGGTCGCATCAATGAAAATATAATAATAAGACGCGTAACGACGACCGCCAAAATGATGTAATGAAGTCAAAATTCCGGAAACCAAGAAGTCCGCACGGTCTTGACTATGGTCGCACTTGGGGTGTATCTATTATGTGTATTATGTGCTGCTTAAGTAAGGATAAGTTGCGTTCTAATTGATAGAGCTACCTCACTTTTAGGTGCGTTATTCGGCAACCCTGCGTGGCAGCTTAGGGGAATGGAATACATTTTTAAGAAAGCCGAATCAAAAGGAAATGGTGAAATTGTTCAATTGAAAAAAACTACAAAATTTCGGTGAACTCTTTTCTTTCTTAGCGATTTGAGGGACCAGCCTAGTCCATATTCTACATTTTTGTTTCAGTGTGGGAGGAATTTCTATTTGTTCGGCGAGGCCTCCGCGGAATTTGCTCTGCATCGGCCCCATTTTTGTTTAAGGTGTAAACTGGAATTTTCTTGCTATCAACTAAAACATTGACTAAATTTAATTGCACCTACTTCCAGTCGCTCCGGACGCACACGGTCGTGCCCTCCGATTCTCTAGCTGTGCGTCTTGCACAAGCGGAGCAGCAGCGGATAGTGCAGATCCTCGTCGTACAGGGCGGAGTCGGCCTTGAGCTGGAGGTGTCGCTGCCAGATGGTCTCGTTGTACCGCGTGGCCAACTCCACCGTAAAGCCCCGGGCAACGCACTCGTCCTGGAACACGCTGAGAGTGCGACCGCGACTCGGGGCCATGATCAGGGCCACTCCCTGGGGCGCCAGGTAATACCAGATGGTGTCCACCAGCGCCGACCGAGCCTCGTCGAAGAACAGGCAGTCGGCGCACAGAATGAAGTCGAACTTGGCATGCTCCGCCTGCGCCCGAGCCGAGCACTCCTGCCACTTGAGGACCGAGCACTTGGTGTAGCAGCTCAGCTCGTTCAGGCAGACCGTCTTTCGAACGTTGTCCACCGAAATCTCGTTGCCGTCGGTCAGGTGCACGGCATAAGGCTTAGCGTACTTGGCGAGCATGAGGCCGGCCAAGGAGGTGAAACCGCCGCCCAGCTCCAGAATCCACTTGCCGCGGTACGCGTCCACCTCAGACAGCACCAGGGCCGTGAGGGCTTCCTCCGAGGGCCAAACGCAGATGTTGCCCGTGTTGTTAAAGCCCATAAGATCGCTGGCGGTCAGCTGTCGCTCCATGTGGTGGATGTTGACCGAGTACTCAACGTCGTTGTCCAGCAGCATGCGGTACTTGTACCAGTTCTCCGTTGTACCCAGGCACTTGAGGCTCACGTGGTCCTCAAAGCTGTCCTGCCGCAGCAGGTCGAAGCTTTTGAAGCGCCTCACCGATGCCGTCTGCTCCTCGCTGAACTCGTCGCTGGAGGAGGACACAGTCTCCTCGGAGTCCTTACGCAGGACCTTAGCCAGAATCTTCCAGCGCTTCTGGGCCGTGTTTTGCATATTGGGGGTGGCTGGAGGCGTGGGCGGCATGAACCCCTGACCGGCGGCTCCCGCTTTGCCCAGTCCAATTTGCTCAACCTCCAGCTCGGCCATCGGGCTACTGAGGTCCCTTTGCCCAGCCGAAGTCATATTCAGATTAACGTCTTTTTCTGGGTTGTTGTTGACTGCTTCCCGAGCCAGAGGTCCGGGTCCTCCCATTCCTCTTCCGTCCAGCGTCATCCTTCGGTGCTGCTTGAACGCATTCAGCGTATTGTCTATATCGTATTGCAGCAGTAGCGATATGGTTGCCAGATGTTCCACTTCCACCTCAGGTGTCTGCTCCGTTTTCCGGCTTGGTTGCTGTTGGGCCTGGGAATTGAGTTGAGTTTTTGTTGACAACTTTTGTACTAGGGTTGCTGACATTTTACTTCAGGTTCGGCTTGCTTGTCTTTCAGTTTCAGTTGTTTCCGGATTTGTTTCATTTCTGGAAAAGAGCAGAGCGAACGGGGGGACAACAGAATTAGTAAAAGTCTTCTCCAAAGTTTTCTCGTCTGGCCGAAACGAATCTCGAATTTTCTACTTCGCTTCGTCTTCTTTCGGGCCCATTATTTTCCAATTATGAATTTTTAATGGCATTCAAAATGCAAATTATCCGACCATAAAATAAAACATATTATACCGAGCGGCAAACCCCCACAAAACACTACGCAAAATCTTTGGCTACATTTTTTATAGACAAGACGTCTTTGAACATTTATGCTGGCATTGAGAAATCGGTATCGACAATTCTATACCCTGTTGAAATGAAAATGCATAATGATCCCTCTTCGATTAATGATGCTGGTACTTATCTCGATTGTATCCATCTTTAAGTTTTATAAATCAATTAAAAACCAAATGTCAACACTTTGAAGGTGTTTTTAGAACTAATCTAATATTTTGCTCTAAGATCAGCTGTTTTTATACCAGTACTAAAAAAGAGTTAAGGGGTATATTAGATTTGTGCTAAAAGTGGATGTGTGTAACGCAGAGAAGGAAATGTTTCCGACCCCATTAAGTATATATATTCTTGATCAGCATCAATAGCCAAGTCGATATAGCCATGTCTCTCCGTCCGTCCGTCCGTTCGTCCGGACGGACTTGTTGAGCGTCAAAATCTCGCCCCGCACATTTTTAAAGGTACGATAAAACTGAAAGCGCAGGATCGTAGAGAATGACCATATCTACCAGACTGCCGAATCTGAATAAGATCGGATCATAATTATAGCCAGAATGAAGAAATTAATTTTCAGTTGCTTCCCCCGCCTCCTACAGAAAGAGACCCGCTAATCATTCTCTTTCTCGCTCGCTCACTCTGCCTCGTTATGTACGCGAGCTCCCTCTAGCGGAGGAGATGTATAATATACATTGTAGATGTAGATAACAGATGTAGCAAAATTTAAATCGTAAACTTTTTTTTTTTAATTCTAAAATTCTAAACAATCTTAAGCTTTAAATGTATTACTGTCTGAGTACGGGTATAAGTAGAATCGCGTCCCCAGAAGCTTAGCTTAGTCTAGCACCTCGAAGTGTAATATATTTTCTATACCATTAAATAGCCATTCTGTTGTACATACAATGGTTATTTAATGTATTTTTTCAGTACGCACAGTAAACTCTAAGGAATCTTCCGAACCTCTAAAACTCATTTGAATTTTTCGGCTAATCAAAACTGTACTCCAACCGAGGACTCGGCCTTTTTTATAAAGCGAGATAGAGAAAGAGTATTTTTGGATAGAGCAAATTATTTAAACACTCAACAAAAGCAGGCATCAAGTCATTCGGTAGCATCTGAGAACTAACCAAAAACATCTAAAACATGTATATAGATAGATATGTATGTATGTATGTAGATATGTATGTACTTATTTGTAAATAAATCAAGAGAATATTCCCTCGTGCGTGTACTCGTATATTCCTTGGCCTTTATTGTTTTGATTGTTGCACATTTTCAGGCTGTATATTTTGGTTTTTGTTGCTTGCCGTATAAATTCATCAAAATTAAGAAATTTTACAGCTCATAAAAATGTTAATTGTGCTGACGTGAAAGCAGAAACACACAAACAGACACATACTCGTATTCAGATGGGCGGTTTTCCAGCTAAAGCCCGCCAGCGCATTTCCAACCAACCCAGCAATCGCTTACAATACGAACAGCATATGGAGTCTATCGGTGATAAGAGGGTGTTCAGTTCTGATTAAAGGCTTGTTTTTCTGTACTTTCGTAGACCCCTGGGAATGCCGTGGGTGGACCATGGACCACTGACACCTGTTCTGGGCAGCCCTGTGCGTAGTGCGGCTGAGTAATTAAAGTTCATCCGAATACTCGTACATGCATCATTCGTTGTGGGCAAGCATTTTTTGGCACTCGTATCTGTTTTCGCAGAGAGCAAAGAATCTGCATAAAAATACCAGGTATTGTCAATTCCCAAAGAAGGCTTTTAGTTTATAGAAATTTGTAATATCAACCGTTCAATCATTTTGAAATATGTACATCTACAGTTTTGATTTGCTCCGCTAAAAAGATTTGGAAACCTAAAGTGGCCTTAGCAGAGAAGATCTCGGATGAAGGGCTCGCATCGAGTTTTATTTTATTTTTATACCCGTACTCAAAAAAGAGTTAAGGGGTATATTAGATTTGTGGTAAAAGTGGATGTGTGTAACGCAGAGAAGGAAACGTTTCCGACACCATAAAGTATATATATTCTTGATCAGCATCAATAGCCGAGTCGATAGAGCCATGTCTGTCTGTCTGTCTATCTGTCCGTCCGTCCGTCCTTGTTTGTCGGCTGGATCTCAGAGACTATAAGAGCTAGGGCAACCAAATTTGGCTTCCGCCCCACAAAAGACGAAAATCTGTGGCAGGCACATTTTTAAAGCTACGATAAAACTGAAAGTGCAGTATCGTAGAAAATGCCCATATCTATGAGATTGCTGAATCTGAATTAGATCGGATCATAATTATAGCCAGAATGAAGAAATTTATTTTCAGTTGCTTCCCCTGCCCCCTCCTGCCCAAAACATCGCAACTCATTTTCTTTCTCGCTCGCACACTCTGCCGCGTTCAGTGCGCGAGCAACCGCTAGCGGAGGAGATGTAGAATCTAAATGGTACATGTATAATCTACATGTTAGATGTATAATATACATAATATATGCAGATGTAGATAACAGATGTAGAAAAAAATTGTAAAATATAAAATTTTTTTTTTTAATTCTAAAATTTTAAAAAAATCATATGCTCAAATATGTAAATGCTGACTGAGTACGGGTATAAGTAGAGTCGCGTCTTTAGAAGCGACTCACACGTTCCTTCTCGTTTTCTCTAATACCCGTATGTACTCGTGTTGTAGTATTTGAATATTCGCACTCGTAATAATCCAGTTGTCACAGCAAACAAGTGTGCTCCCAAATGTTATCCGTGCATTGACAGCTGACACCTGTACAGATAAGCTGTGCTATTGGGCTCATTACGATAAGAGCGTGTGCATATTTTAATAATGTATCAAAACTAAACACTGTTGAATACGATGAATAATAAACGGACATAAGGAATAGATAAGTATCTCTATTTAAAGCTTCGTTGGATAGAAACGAAATCTCACTTTGTGCAGAGTTGAATGGAATGGAACAGATTCACTAGCAGAATTAAAAAATAAACAACATTATTAAAAATTGAACGAAAAATAAACATCAAAGTCAAAAAAAGATCAAAGTGGCGCCAACGAACCAGAAAATAACCAAATCATCCTGCTGCCAAAATGTATTCCAGAGTGCTATTTAATTTTATGCAGCATATCAAAGCAGCGAAATATTGTCAGTGCTGGTACTATGTATATGATGCAGCCCCAAGGCAGTTCTCCGGTTTGATGAAGTACCAACTGTACTTACTTATCAGCGCTCAAAGGGAGAACGTAATGAATGTCCTAATCAAACAAGACCCTTCGTGGAATCACACTCTCAGTTTCCACCATCCCAACACAGTCTGGTCGACCTCCCACAGCAACTCCTTATCAAACATTAACAACTTTGGGGAACTTCGCCAGCTTCTCGAACTACTTTTAACGACGGCCCCGCCCAGACCCTTATTGGGGGCCAATGAAACTTTTCCATGCCTAATGCCCGGCTGAAGAATGTGAATTTGCATTCGCCGAAATGGGGAAACATGAATATTGAGTGGGCTCTGCTCTGGAAAACGTGTCCCGAAACCCGCAGCTCTGCCTCCAGCAAAAGTTTACAGCGAAAACTTTGGACCAACTTTAAAGCCTGCCTTGCAGCTACGACAATAAAAGCCGACAATGTTTGCATCGTTTCCTCTCCTGGTCTCTGACCCTGGTCTGAGAAACACTCGTCGAACGATTAGCTGGGCGAAGACACGACCTGAACCTGGGCAGCTACAGACCAAAATTCATTTGCAAGTGGGATACCGACAAGAGTCGGGGGCGGGCACAGTCGGCGGTTGGCTCAATCATTGGAAAATTAAAGTTTTTCCCTGGCAAGTTCATCCAATTCGATTCGATTCAATCACTCGAGAAACTTTTCTTGCATTGTGGCACCTGGGAAATGTTGTCGACGATGCCGTCCAAAAAAATGCAAGAACAAAGTGAAAAGGTTTTCTGCCAGCCACTCGCACACCCCCTGCCGTAAGGCGTCGGAAATACTGGGGTAAGGAAGCAAAAACCCAAGGAGAAAGCAAGACTGACGTGCGTGTTCGTCTCGCTCCATCTCTCTCCCCCTCTGGTCCCTCGTGAACGCTGCGGGAGCACGCAACGCCATACAGGATATACGAGTGCGTATGTATGTCCTCGTTCTTCTGATGAATGCTCGACGCTCTTCGCGCTCATTGCTCGCATTAACCCTATAATTTATTATTTATTGCAATCTACTGTCACAGCAATTTGCTCGGCTTTTCTTTTTATGTTTCTCTCTGCGGGTTTTTTATGATTATTTTTTCGACTCTGACCTTGGGGCCCGAAGTGTCAACAGACAGATACACACATGACTTCTGGGAACACATCAAGACAGACGGGTGCTGTTGCTGGTACTCATACTCGCTCGCATGATAAAGAGCCAACTGTGAAAAAGAGTTATTCCAGAGTCGCTGGCGAGATAATGAAGTCAAATTTAATTATGGCTGACTGCGGCTAAGAGGAAACTTTTTCCATCAACGATAATCTAATACACTACCAAGATGGGGCGGTGCTTGTACATGGTGTACAAGGAGGGCCTTTAATAAATTCAATTTAGAGATGTCTGATCATGTCACAATCAAGGAATTAAATAATTCTAGTTCAAACTAAGTTAACAAATTGACTGCTAAATTCGGAAAGGCTCCTCCAATTGGTGGCTTTAGAAATAATATTAATTATTTGGTGGGCATAGCCACGAGGTAGCATAGAGTGATTTGCTAGACATACAAATGGTTTAATAGAGTCTCCAAAATCAT